ATAATAAAATGCAAAATTCAGATTATTGTTTTTCCATTCCTGAATCATTATGACAATTTCAAAAATCTCTGCGAATGTTGAATGCCCTCTTTAAATGAAATGATATCATTCAGATTACTGCACACTAATGGGTTCACTGATGATGAAATAAATCAGCAAAAAACGGTAATCTACAACAATATAGTACAGGGAATGGCTTCTATTCTGAGGGGCATGAAAAAACTTGATATTCCATTTGAGAATTCTGAACGAGATGTACGTCTTCATAATTAAAACTTTTTCAAAAAACATAAATATCATTTCACTGAAACTTTTAATGATTATATAAGAAAAATTATAACGGCAAATTTTTTGTAGATTGCATTCATTTTTTGTTTTTCTTTTCTATAAATTATATTTTAAATTTCATTAAATAGTTTTAATTAAATGGGAAATAAAAATGATCAACATTTTCATTTTCTGCTGATTCTTGACACCACTTATGTTGAGAAAATTCTAAAAATTTAAGAATCTATTTTTTAAAAAGAATTTATAGGCTGATGCTCGTATTGTAATGGATGTTGTCAAGTCAGGTAATGAATCAGAACCTTTAACACCTGCGCTAACTGCTGCATTGAAAAATTTATGGGCTGATGAAGGAGTTCGTAAGCATGCCTTGGAACGCGGAAATGAATTTCAAATGGCAGAATCTGTCGCTTAGTAAGTATTTTATGTCTAATATCTAATTCAATTGCAATGTAAGTTTTTTTTTCTTTTCAAGTTCATTTAAGCTGCGACCAAAGACCGTTAATGTTTAAGGATATGCAAAATGAATTAGTCAAAGTCGTACTAAACAATCTTGTCACATGCTTGAAATTGATATTAATTGAATATTTTAATAGAATTTGAGAAACAATGAAATTAAGTGAAATCTTTTGTGCAAGAAATGCATGCAAATCTTTTGTGCAAGAAATTCATTTAATTCCAATGTCAACAAAAAATTCAATTATTCATAGATAGACTTGGGATTTCAGCAAATCACATAAAAATTAAAGCTTCATTTCGTATTTTAAAAGTTAACTGAAAATGTGATTAAAAATAAATTTTGCATTTTAATACAATAGCAAAATTTTCTGGAAAATGCTTCTGTAAACAAAAAAGGCTTTCTAAAATGGCTTACAGTTTTCTGGATTCCGTGGATCGAGTTTCATTTCCGGGCTATAAACCTACCGAACAGGATATTTTGCTCAGTCGAATTAAAACAACAGGCATTGTAGAAGTGAAATTCAAAATGAAAAATGTTGATTTCCGGTAGTTTTTAAAACTTTTTAATTAGTTTACGAGATTTTTAATTTTTCAGAGTTTTAGAGCCAAAGATTTAGTTTCATTTAATTGTATAAAAAAATTATTTTTCTATAAAATATTTTGTTACAAAATTTAAAATAAAAAGGAGCACTACGTTAATATTGGTATGATTAAAGAAATATATTTGAATTTCTCACTTTTTTCAACACTTTTTTTGTTATCATTGTCATATCAAAGAGGTGTCACATAATCCATGTTAGAAGAAGTCTTGAAAGTGACAATTAGAGTAGGTGACATCTCCTTGATCGTAATGTATTTGAATTTTCTTTCTAACTTTTTTACTTGCTTGTCATTGCTGAAAAAACATAAATTGTTATGGAATAATAAATTTGAGATGTAAAAAATTAGATTAAAATTGTCAATCAAATTTGAATCAAAAGAAAAGAAAATGATTGATCAACTTCTAATTTCATTCATCTCTTCAAAATTTCCTTTTTTTTAAAAAATTATCTCAAATAATTTTCAGAATTTTTGATGTCGGTGGACAACGATCGGAGCGTAAGAAATGGATTCATTGCTTCGAAGATGTCAATGCAATTATATTCATCGCTGCTATTAGTCAGTATGATCAAGTGCTTTTTGAAGACGAAACTACGGTAATTCCCTTTTCTCTTTCTTCTTTTTTCATCTTTTCTAAAATTTCCAGTATTTTAATTTGTTTCCTATCGTGCAGCTATGCAAAATTTATGATTTGTAAAATGTAATTTTTTTGAGAATGTTTCAAAGTTCCATTTTTTAAGAAATGTATGAAAACGTTTATTTTCGCTAGGAAAAGAAATTATTGAATTAAACTAACATTCAATATAAGAAGAAATAATTTGCTCAATCACGCTAATAATTAAGTGGAATGTGAACGTATAAAAAGAAATATGCCGGAAAAGTATTTGTTTCTGACTGTTTACTGTATTTATTTTATTCCCCGAACATTCTCTCAACTACTGTATTAGCAAATCTTTGCAATACAATAATTTAATTGTTTGCTTCTATTAATCAATCAAAAATTTTTGTTTCTTCTTTCAAATCTTAAATTTTAATTTAAAAAACCAACTAAATAGTATAAAGAAATAACTAAAATAAATGCATAACTTGCATTTGTAGTCTACGTATAAAATTTAAATTTAGAGGAAAATTTGTCCATCTAACTTTTCCACATGAAAATTTAATTTTATCCACAATCAACAAATTATTAATTTTCATTTAATTATTTTCTAATTATTAAAATTCAAAAGCAGATATGTAAAAGATTGATTTGTTAGCACTCTACTTATTAATATAAAATTCACAAGTAAATTATAACCGAAAATTTGTCTTCAAACTCAATCATTCTTCTTTCTTATATTCTCAAGAAAAGAAAAAAATTTTTTTTAAGAAATTGAGGTGGGAGTTGGATTCATCACATATTCCAAATAATCTATTTTAGTATTTCGAGTATTTGAAAAATTTTCAAGCAATAAACGCTCTTCCACATTTATCAGTCATTTTGTCTGAAGAGCCTGTCAAGGTCATTTCATATCTGACCTAAATTCTACTTTGACAATATAATAAAGATGAGAATATAGCAGCAATATTATGCTAGAAGAATTGTTTTTTACATCAGTGAAAAAAAAGCTCAAAAGCTGTAAAATTTCTTAATTTGCTTCAATTCTTCTAGTACAATATTGTTATTACTTCGACTTCTAAGCCTTTTATATTTTATAGAATGCAATATAAAATTCAAAGTTCAAAGCATGAGCTTGAAATTGCCAAATCTACAGTATGATTTTATTTTGAGTGTAACCTTATATGTTACGTTGTGAAGCATTTAGAAGCAAAATTCAAAGTTCAAAACCTCAATTTGAAACCCATACTGACTCATTTCACTTCAAATCTTATCATTTATAGTGATGATGATACTAGTGATATTTCAAAATAGATTATTCAAGAAAATTTTGTTTAGCATACTTTCTGCTACTTAGATAATTTCCTTGTAATTGGTTATCACGTTTACAATTTAAGAATTTTATTTTCTGATGGAATAACCATTAAATAATTAAAGCAATCGCAAACCAATGGATGTAAACTTTCAAAATACTACTTTTGCATTTTTATTTTTATCAACAAATCCCGAGCATCGTCGAGGAGATCAGAGCACTGTAATGTGTGTTGATAATTTGACAGTTGATCATATTTTCTCTCCGAAAGTTTTTTGAAATTAACACTGTAAAGTTTTTTTTTGCGTACAGAATCGTATGATTGAAAGTTTACGATTATTTGAATCGATATGCAATAGTCGATGGTTTATCAATACATCAATAATTTTATTCCTCAACAAAAAAGACTTGTTTGCTGAGAAGATTAAACGGGTTTCGATCAAAATTGCTTTTCCCGAATATGACGGTTTGTTTAAACTCATTTATTATTCAAGTTCGAATTTCAAAAATAAAAGCTGAGCTTCCTACTTTTTTTCCTATCATTATTTCAATAGTTTCAGAATTTTAAAAAAATATTAGCAAGTTCAGTTGCTAAGTTATTTAGAAGTAATTCAAAGATTACGAGAATTTTTTTTTAATCATCTCATCATTTAATCTCATTAAGAGTACAATTTCTAATTTGTGATATGATCGGATATATCATTTGGCTGAATAAATTTTTTATTTAAGAAAAGTAGATTGTGGAGAATTTAGAAAGTAAATATCATTAAAAATTCATGTTTATAGGCCCACAAACCTATGATGATTCAGTGCAATTTATTAAACAAAAATTCGAAGCTCTAAATGCAAATCCAGAAAAAACAATTTACACTCATCAAACATGTGCGACAGATACGGATCAAGTTCAAATAATTCTGGACAGTGTTATCGATATGGTCATTCAGGCTAATTTGAGAGGATGTGGACTGTACTAAATCTCCTTGTTTATATATCAGCACCCACAATTCTTCAAGTTTTTAATTATATTAGATTCCACGAGTGATTAAAACATCCAAATCACAATTATCATATCATATCATCTCTCCCCATCTTAATTCTAACTAGCATACTGTCTCATTATAACTTCGCACTCTCTCACTCACTCTTTTCATCCACTGCACACTTCATTAGTTGCGGATTGTTTCTCTTTCTTCTCATATTGAAATATTGTTTTTTCTCTCTCTCTCTCTTCGATTTCTTTCAAATTCACTTTGTTTCTCTTCTTAATGAGTTGATGAGAGTTAAATTGAAAGTAACCATTTTACGTTTTTATGACGAAAAAGTCAATCTGTTTTCTCATCGTCTCAGCAGTCTCAATCTTATATTTTAGGATTGTTGATATGCAATGCCCCTGTTACTGAGGATTGAACCAATGACAGTTGTCTGGTCCTTAAGAATCAAAAAAGCCATAGAGACAAGCCTCAATGAATTTGTTAGTGAGACAAGATTCGATATGAAATTTTTTTTTCATAGGAATAAATGTGAATGATATGGAATAAATTCTGATTTTATTGAATTTCTTACTAAAAGATTTTTCCCGAGATTTCATTGTAAACAACAAAATCTTCATCGAAACATTTATCTCTCCTGAGGGATAAAAATTAACATAATTGTTTAGCGATTATATGCAGATAAGTCCTTTACTATCTTAAAAAAGATATTACAATCTACAGTTGCAATGCATACATATAACTATGCTATGAATTGTGCCTTTTCTGCATTCTCCATAATGCTCCCGGGAATTCCCGTAGAAACAACTAATGACACCGATTGCTGTGTATTGTCCATTTTCCGTTTTCGCAACCGGCGACATAATTCAGGAATGACCAATAAACCAGCAAAAACTGTTATCGCAGCAACCAGCTCATAAAAATCTGGCCCAAGTAATGGCCATGGATTTCTGTAAATCGTTTGTAGGTATTATTTGATGCTACATATGATCACACAGGAATCAAACCTATGAAGACGAAGATGAGAAAAATCGAATTTGGAAAATTCAAATCAGAAATTCAAAAAGAAAACTTGAAATATAAATAACAAAAACGTAATGACGCAAATGGAAATGCTAAGCATATCACCGCTTAAACAATAAAAAATTTCCCATTCTCAAGAGCAAGAGAGATATTGCAAAGCATAAGCATCATTTTATGTTAACCAATTTATTCTCGAAAATACTTCAGATTCTTGAGATGACGCATCATTCCACTGTGAAAAAATCTCCTTCGATTCTGCTAGAACTCAAAGGAGAAAAATTTTATGAATAAAATCAGGGAATTTACCTGTAGAACGGTTGACAGCATTCTGCACCACAGCACCAACCATATGGTGGACACATCCAGTAAATGTGATTCACGGGCTTTTCTGAATTTTCGATAAAAATATTGCTCAATTCCTATAACGATGATATATTTATCAAAATATTCCTATAATTACCCACATTATTTAATTTATTTCCCAACTCAAGTACTTTTCTAAATTTAGTTATTAGTTGTACACTCTCAACAATTTCGAACTTTAATCTTTCATGGCTAACATTAGTTATAATCAATCCATAGGATCTGAAAGATGAACTTATGACTGTATAGTATCACATATAATAATAACAGCTTCATATTTTCTTAAGTTATTATTAATAAGTCATTTTCTTTATTGAAGAATAGCATTTGAGAATTATGCTGTTTTGTTAGTTCACATAAAATAAAGATAATGTGCTACTTATTTCAACTCTTTTTGATTGTTGAAATCATAACCCTCAGGCATTATCAACAATTAGCAACAAATTAAGATTGAAAATTTAAATTTTGAATATAAGGCTTATTTATTAATTAACTAAAATTTTCGTTACTTTCTTATGACAATTTAATTTTTTTCATGTTTTTAGTTTATCTGACTTTTAGGCCGATATTGATAAGATATTCTTAATAAATAAATTTTGCTCACATTTGTATTAAAAATAATTGCATTTTTTGCAATAATTACTTTATCCAATGAAATTTTCATTACTCTGAATTTAATTGCTTTTGATATAAATCTGAATAAAATTTATTGCTATATTATAGATTGGTTAATATTTTTTTATTCATGCTCAATTTTTTATTCTTACCTTCTTCAGTCAGATATTAGCCTAGTAAAACGTTAAGTATAAAATATGTAAAAGTAAGTTTAATTTCAAGCATAAGAATATTCAAACAAAAATGATTACCTTAATTTCGAAAACTTTTAAGTGACATAGTTTTCCCATTTTAGGTGGTTCAGTGATGTTTTCATAAACATGTAATTGATATTTAAGATTATAATGACCAATTGAGATATTGCCAGCATTTAAGGTGACCCTTAGTGAATCATTCCTTACAGCATCGATTGACTGTAGATAATCGCGTAATTTTCTACAACAGAACCAATGCTTCCACGGCGTATAATAAGTGAAACATGCAACGTTGGCTTCATTCTGAGAGCAAAATCATCTTCAAATTTCTCGTTGTTGATTGAGAATGAGAGATTAAAACGACTCATCCTTACCCACTCTTTTTTAATTAAATTTTTTTTTTCTGAAAAGAAAGAACAAAACAAAATGATGTTCAGGTATAGCAAGGTGAATATGTCAGAAGTTTCAACCAAAAATACGCTATACTTTTGACCTCGAATATAAGATGTAAGTGTTAAATTACTCAGCTAATGGTAATTCTAGAATGATCATGATTATACATACTGCAAAACTCACAAAAAACTGTTCTGCTTGGAAAAATCACTTTGATAGTAGTATATGCCGTTTCCAAACGTAGAATAAAATTTAATCGGTATTCCATCACTTTTGATCAATTCAATCATAGAAAGCAAAATTGTTAAAAGTGTATGATTTTTATTCATAACCTAAAAAATGACAATTTTCTTAAAAGAATAAATCATTTAAAATAATTAAATATATATATCGCTATCAATTCGTTTTTGTTTCCGAATTTATGCTAATCTACAAATTTTTCAAGAATTTTAAATGAAATACTAGAACTAGCGCAACTTTATCCAGTAATTTCCATGCTAACAGAAATTAAGAAAATATAAACAGCGATGTCAATAATTAAACATAAAATTTTTTCATAGGTGGATGGATGGATAATTAAAAAAAATATTTTTCTCAATTTATACAACTAAGTTTTAATGCAACTATTTGTCAATGAAAAAGAAAAGTATTTTCTGCAGGAAATTGCAGTTTTTATTTTGTTATTTATCGAGACCTTTTTTTGAAACGGATTAATAATTAAAGCAGTTGAGATAATAACAGTTTAAAAAAATAGAATGCATAATTCATAAAATATTATAAATTAGCACGCAAAATGAACAAAAAAAAACAATGAATTTATATGAAGGATGGGTAGAATTCAATTATATAAATTTTGTTTTACCGATGGAATAATAATTCTTTGACGATTACAAACGAATATTTTTCTTGTTGAACAAACTAACCACTGTTTTTACACTGATATTATCATAAATTATCTTTTCCTGCAAAAATATTTCGCTTAAAAGCTAATAAAAAATTAATTACAAAATTCTGGAGGCATGCATTAATTTGTTTAAAAAAGTGAACTTTTTTTTAATTTTAAATATGTTAAATTGAATGAAAAAAATGGATTTATCTTCAAAAATAAACGAGCATTTTTCAAGTTTCAGTTTGATATAATTATTTCATCGCTTGAAATAATTTCAAGAATAAAAAACATCTTTAAGTTATGTATCCTTTTTCCAATGTTATTAAAATGAACAAACTAAAAGTACCATTTCATTTCCCTTTCTTTGCGAGAAAAATAAACATCTTGAGAAACACTTTTTTAACCTAAAAAATATCCTAATTTTATCGGCAATTTCTACAAAAATGATAGAAAAATAAAAGTTTTTTCTTTTCATTCACTAAAATACAAATTATCTCTAAAATATTGTAATTTTTTCTTAGTTAAAAATCTAATATGCAGTAAAAACTTAATTAATCATTTCGGACGCAATTTTTTCTTGTCATCTTTTCCCGAGAAAGATGAAAATAAGCCCAAAATTCATTTTATCATTATATAGTACATTGCTTTAAAATCACAAATCTTTTTTGGAATAATTTGCAGTTTCTCCATCTGATGAATGAAAAATATGGTGAAATTTTAGTTTAAAGTTTTTATTAAAATAAAGAAACTACTTAAAATGATTCTTTCAGCAGACAATAAAAAGAAGTTACAAATCTCACAAGAAAAAGTTATAAAGCAATATTATTCGAATAGTTGTTTGGTTAATCATTATTTTAATCATTATTGGTTAATTATTAATCACTATTGAATGATGTAAAATTTTATCATTCATTCCTAATATGAAAAAGTAAAATATTTCAAATAACCTAAAAAATTTTCAAAACTAGTCAAAGAAAAATAACAACATTTTATTTATCGGTATTTATGACCTGGAATAGATGATGGAAACAGATAGAAGGGATGAACTGCAGCGAAGGAGAAAGAAAATGGGAAGGATAAAATTGAAGTGAAAGGAGGTAATTAACGATGAAAATGATAAAACAAGTTTGTCTATGAGAGAACGAGTAAAACCGATTAATCCTACAAACACAATGAATATTTTCCTTTTGATACAATTTAGAAATGAGGACAATTTAAACTTTTCCCATTTAAAGTCTTTATCATTTATCTAATGTTATCACTTAATCAAAACTATTCTGCACAGAAAACATACCAATTTATCACTTTTTACCGTTCATCATCACATCCATCTCCATAAATTAAACATTCACTGTACAGTAATGTACTTTGACCAGTTATTGAAATTGAAAATAAAATTGAAATATCAAGCAATTCATGAAAAATAAAATAATATGATCGATACTAGAATCTATTATCAATTTTAGTTGAAATAACACATTAACACCACATATGCCACAAATGTTATAATATATAAAAATTCGACATTACTTATTCAGTAGAAAAACTTGATAAAATAAAATTTTAACAGAAATAATCTGAAAGATCAAATGCATATATTCAAAAATGAAATAACTACAAGCTATTAAGTGGTAAAATAATTTGAGAGACAATAGACTTAAAAAATTCAAATAACATTTATAGCTAAAAATTTATAGGATGGTAAAGAAAGAAATTAAAAATATTATGATAACATTTTGTGTGGATTGAGTAAACATGAAAAGCTCAATTAGCCAATAATACTTAAGCAATGACTTTCTGATATTTTTTTCGCCTTCAAAAATAATTATTTTACATTCTTCGTTATTTGATGAATATTTTGTAAGCGAATAAAATAAGAATTTTGATAAACTTTTTGTGATAATAGCGCTACTTCTGATTACAAGTGAAAGAAAAGATTTACTCATTAAGCGTATAAATTAAGTAGAACGAGAGAATATTTGAATAAATTCAAATAATTATAATTGAAAATACAATTTATGTATACCTATTAGCAGCTTCACGTAACAATCGCCAAAGTATTTTACCACCTGGCGATCGAGGTAATGTCATTGCTATAACCACAACATCCACCTGTTTATGAGGCATCACACGTTCTGAAGACGAAACTAAATGATATGACTATTATAAGGTATGCATACGGAATATTGTAATAAATATAATGATGAAATCAAATCTCTTTTTTTGGAAAGCAGTTAATTACCTATTAAATATTCAAAAGATGTAATTAGACCGATAATATTTTATAATTATTAAGAATTAATCTGTTTTGTTTGTACATTCATGCCGCTTTTTACTGAATAAATTTAACCTACAGTTTTTCTTATTTTCATGCTTTTGACAATAAAATTTGACCTCACACAAATTATCCAAATGATTTTCTTTTAGTGGTCTCAAAATGGATAAATTTTTATCTCACAAATAATTTGAATTGAAAAAAGTTTAAAACATACCATTAACAAACTCCTTAATCTGTTCAGCTGTAGCAGGTATACGAGGTTTTAACACCACAAAAGCTACCGGTGTTTCTTGTTGGTTTACTTTTGTGGCCGGTACAATTGCTGCTTCAGCAATAGATGGATGAGTCAACAGGATCGATTCCAACTCTTGCGGTGTCACCTAAATGTAAAATACATTAAACAGACATAATTTTCCTGAGAATTTTATTACAGTTCCACTCAATTACATAAATTTCATAGTTTATGATAATAAAAATCAATTTTTTGAGTAAAAGTAAGCAATGCAAGTAAATTTAATTTTCAGTCTTATTTTCATTCATTATCTTAGGAAGAAAAGGATTATTATAAGCTTTTAGCCCTGTAGAAAAAAAGTTAGTTAAGATATGTCGATCCTAAAGAAATGACGATAAAATTGCATTCAAAAGTATTTCTTTCAAACTTTTTTAAAATATAATGCCAGAATTTAAAAAATTATACCTGAAAACCATCAACCTTAATCATCTGTTTTTCTCGATCAACAAGAAATACATTACCATCTTTATCATAAAAACCAATATCACCTACAAAATTTGAATCACTCCATACTTTTAGTTCTTTCATTTAACAGTCAATTTTTTTTCTTTGATATTCAATTTTGAAATATTTTCACGGTTTTACATGAAAATTTAATTGATATCAATTCTATTGCCGGGAAACCCGAAATTTGTGATATAAAACTATTCGAGATTTTGTATTGTTGACAGTTAAGTTAAGTCAGTCATTCTTCACAATCTTTCGTCAAACTTAATTTTTCCTCATTTCGTGCTGCTCGAATGTCATTCATAGTTATTTCCATCAACACTTCCCGCCATCAAATGTTCTCTGTCTTTCTTTTTATCTATAAAAACAAATGCAAGCAGACAATGCGTCCTCTTTTCTTATCGCTTCTTTCTTTCTTTTCATCACATCACATCGCCTTCTACTGATTTATCCCATGCAATCTGCACGATCTCTGTGACTTATACACGTATCTCTACATCGTTTCCGTTGATATGTATTTAAATAACTGTCTTTATATCGCTAATGTATACATTAATGATGTTACATAAATGAGAAATTATATATTTATGTAAATACGTGCAGTTATGGAGTGGCACTCTTCCCACCCAAAAGATGTGTCTCTTTGCTCAGAAGGGACTAATCCCTGCCATTTAATCATAAGAGATGGATTATTCCTCTTTGGAGATCGTTAATACTCAATATCTCCAATCTTCCTTCCAATAAATCTTTTCAATCATAATTGTTGTAGAATACTAATGTGCTCTTCGAATCAAAAAGAAATTTTTCACGACAATATTTCCCTAAGTGTTTCCTTGTATATTTTCTGATGCAGCAATATTCTTAGGATATACCAATTTATAAGCAATCTATAAATATATTGTTTTTCTTTATAACAGCCGTTTTCTTAATTCTAATAAATTTAATTATTTTTAATTATATACAATTTATACCAGTATTTCTCCAACCATTTCGCTGAAAATCCTCAAATGTAGCTTTGTCATTCCTCCAATACGGTGATATTACAGTTTGTCCTCGAAGCAGAATAAGGCCTTGCTGGTTTATGCCTACTTCAACACCACTAACCATGTCTATTACCTCAATAATTTATTCTTATTTGCTATTTTTTTCCAAAACAAATATTTTATCTTTCTCATCTTTTTTAAAAAAAAAATTAATGATGAAATTTCATTTTAGAGAGATCATCTCAAAATACCGATTAAAATATTCGATTTTCAAAACTTTACATAAAATGCAAAGCTCTTTAAAAAGAGATCCAATTTTTTAGGAAATTAAATGAAATAAAAAGGGAATTACCATCATGCTAAGGCCAGCACATAATGTTCCACATGAATGAGATATGAAAGGAGAAAATTTGGTTGTTCGACTAATAATTCCTGCTTCAGTCATTTCATAAACTGAAATACTGAAGAAATGAAGAATTTGAAATTGATTAGCAACAAACTAATAACTGCTGATAACACGAAACATTGATGTCATATATTCAAACTATAAAACTTAAAATGAATCAATTGTAAATTGATCACTATGAAAACATGTAAATTTTCCTATATATTCAAAAATTTAAACAAATTCAGAAAATTAAATACAAGTTATCTTTCTTTATAGCTCATACCTGAAGAAATGAAAATTGAACAAATTAATGAAAAATTAAAAAAAATCATACCGGCACTGAAATGCTTAACGGACGGTAAACACCGAAATGCACGCTTTATCGTATCTTCACAAATTGCTTCCGTTCCAATTACAACAGTTTTCAAATGATAATATGGATAATGATTAATTATATCTGTATTACAGAGGTGTTTAAGAGTAGTAGGACTGATAAATAGTGTCTTAACCTGTAAAACATTGCTAAATTAAATAGCAAAAAGAATTTAACC